AGTTCACAAGACACCCAGATCCTTCCAAACATTTTTTGCCTATTTTTGCCTCCAAATGGATAAAAAGGGCACTCCTTGCTCCAACGTATCTGGCCCCCAAACTCCGTAAAATATTAAAAAGTTTTGAAAACAGCAAAAAAATAAATAAATCTGTTTCCACTTTCACTCCCAGTTTTATTTTTGTGCAAAGGGTGCATCAAACCAAGAATACTAAGGAAAGCTACAAATTGGCACCTTCTCTCAGCACAGTTACCCATCCTTTATGTGAATCAAGCAATTTAACTTCCATGTCTCAATGCAGTGGAATTTTGGGATTTGTAGTTTGTTGTGGCACCAGAACTCTCTGACAGAGAAGGCAAAATGTCTCACAAAACTACAGATCCCAGAATCCATTGCATTGAGACATGGCTGTTAAAGTAGTGTCAAACTGGATTATTTCTGCAGTGCAGATGCAGCCAAATAGTCTTTTCCTCCCTCTTGTTTAGAATTCCCCATCTTTTCCTCCCTCTTGTTTAGGATCCCTCTGTTCCACTAAATCCAGTATCTTTAAATCCAGGAAACATATGCTGGCCATACAACAAAATAGAAAATTTGAGCAGTACTTTTATTGGCCAACCAAAATACACAAAACACATAATGAAAGCTTTCGAAGCTTCTCTGGCTTCTTCAGCAGGCAAAGTATCACTCTTTTGTGAGTTTTGTTTTATTTTGCACTATGGCCAGCATGGTTACCCCAGAATACAATTCCAAAAGTTGGTGCTTAGGGATTGTTGCTCTGTGTTTTTGTTGTTTTTGTTGTTGTTGTTGTTGTTATTGTGCTGCACAATTCAGTAGAGTTCTCTTTTATTCTCTGTGGTTTTCAATATTTACATGTAAATAAACTGACTAGGGTTGGGCTTTTAATGCCGCCTAGTGCTGTTTTTTAAGGTTTGTATATAATATTTTAATAAATTTTGGTATTTGTAATTTTTAGTCTTTGAAGTTTATAAATTGTTTAATTGTTTTTTAAATCTTATATTTATACTTTTATTAATGTTTTTGTATTGTTTTTAATTTTTATTGTTTTAAGTATGTTGTTGGCGGCTTTGAGAAGGGAAGGATATAAATGAATGAGTAAATAAAAAGCAAGTTAAAACAAAATAGCTAAAGCAAAATGTTGTACAGAAGTTTGAAAAAACATTAACAAATCCAATAAAAACATTTATTTTTAAACTTTAATTTAGAACAATTAAAAATGCACAAAAGATATTTTAAAAATAACATCCTGATTGCACATCCTTGTGTCCCCACAGTTCAAGGCTGACGGCCTGTTTATTTTTTAAAAAGTCTTTGCCTGCCAATAAAAGGAGTGTGTAGAATAAGATAATCAAGCCTTCCAGGACTGGGAAAATTTCATGGTCTTGGAGCAGCTATCAAGAAGGCTGTCTCCTGTGTTCTCACCAGAGGAGCTTGTAAGGCTGGTGGGATGAAGGAAAGATACTACTTTTGTATGACTCTGCTTTGTTATTTGCCTTGTTTGAGAGGGGTTCCATTTTTTGCAAGGCTGATTTGGAGAAGGTCTTTTATTCATAATGCTGGATTGTTCATCAACACTTAAGTAGTTAGTTGAAACAGACCACCCAAAAAGGACTGACTGGGGCCACCCCAGAGCTGTGGTAAACAGACATGGGACGTCCCAGAGCTGGCCCAGATAGAAGCGGAAAAGATCTGCTCCTTTTTGGGGGAAGTAAAGGGCCACCTTAGGTGGCCCCATCGCAACCCCAGAGCAGCTTCTGTGCATTCCAGGGGCGTGCGGTGTGGAAACGCTATACTGCTGGAGCAGCTGGAAGCCGCCCCCGTCTGGTTGGCTGGGTGTCTTCTGAGCTTGCGGCATCAAAATGTCACATCCCCAAAAGGAGTGTGCAGAATAGGGTAATCAAGCTGCCTGGAAGCCGACTTTTGTGGGCCATCTGTTTGGCCCCTAGATGCTGTCACAATATGGGAAACCCACCATGGCTCTCATCCCCCCTTCAGTGGTAATGTTCAGTTTCTCCCATGCAGACAGTCATAAGGGTCCATGCCTTTCCTTGTGCAGAGTCACCTCCCCACCTTACTTGTCTTCCCAGTTGAATAGTTGATTGGCTTGAGAAAGAATATCAATGTTACCCCCAGTCACTGACTGTAGGTAACATAGGATGAGATCTTCCTTTCTCTGTTTGCCTTTCTAGTGGGAACAACAAGCAAGAAAAAGAGTGATCCCAGTGTTCTCTCTTATTAATGAGATAATCAGAATCGGAACAGCAACTTCTCCCTGCTACGCTTGCCTTTCTAATAGGGAAGATAAAAGATGGGGATTCCCAAAATATATTTGCACTGTTTTATTCTTTACTGCTGATTTACTTTGGATTTATCATGTTCTGTTGCATTATTTTCATGTATTTTATGGAATGCTTTAATTTTTGTACACTGTCCAAGAAAGTGCTATTGTGGTGCAGCCTAAAAAGTAAAGATTACTTAATTTTGAAGGGTTAATTTTATTGGTCCTTTCAAATTTTTGGCAAGAGTGCACATTTTTTGTTTGTCTGTTTCTCTGTCATTCTCTCAAGCTGAGTAATACCAATTAAGATTCTGCAAATGTAGCATAGGCTTTGTGCTTCTGATAACATTTTGTTCAGCTACCTACCATCTTCATCCAATCTCAGATTTCTTTTAGTTCTTGATAAAATAGATAATAATGTTTAATAGATAATACATTTAATAGATTATACATTTACTGGAGCATGTAGGGTTAACATTTCTTGTATGTTGTGTTCTACCAAATCTCTTGGACTTGGGTGTTGTTGTTGTTTTTCTGAACTGTGAATCTACACAATACCAGCATATTTGCTTAGTACAGGAGAATTCAGCAATATGTATTGTTACACAACTGTGTTTGTGAGATTGTTTTCACAATTTAGGAACCTGAAGTAGGTTGTCAAAGGCAGTTGGTATATCCAAGGCATTCTTACTATTTGTACTGCTTCGGAAATGAGAATAACAAAATTTGAAATGCATCTTATAAATTGAAATAATAAAATGATAAAAAATGTGAAGTACTTTGTTGCTCTTTTCTTTCAGCCTTTTAGATGGTGGGAAAGGATTGAATGCAGTTGCAGAGTAACCAGTAACTTAGCTGAAAATTTTTGTACGTTATTCTGTGAAACAGTCTTCTTATTATGCAAGAAATCATTTCTGGTGAAAGTAAGAATATCCCTCTGTTTGCAAAATACAGGCTGTATTTAATGATATATGTTTCATATGCAGACAGTCTGGTAATAATGGATAGTAATAATTACAGAATTGTTAGTTGTAGACTTGTTAGTTAGTTACACTAGTATGTTATTCTTAAACAGATCAGTCTCCAAAACATTTGCAGTATAGTTTGGTTGAAAATGTTAATTTCAACCTTTATGTGTATGTGCTTTTTAAGGCAGTCAGACTCCTTTGTTACCTGCATGCATTTTATTTGTGTAGATACCTGACATTTTTTAAATGGCAGATGAAAGAAAGGTTCATGCTTCAGTACAAGATTGCTCAAGTTTGCAAGCAAGCTGTCATGCTGAATTTGGATGTTATTACAAAGAGAAACGTCATCTGTCATATTTAATAAGCAGATTGTAAACTAGTGGATTTGAATTGTTGCTGCTACACTGAGGAGAAAAAACAAGGAGATACCGTGTTGGAAAATGAAGACCACATATTCATTTGGGAAATAAAATCTCAAGAATACAGTCTCTTTCTGTGGGGAGCTATTCAAACTTGAAGATACTTTAGTTGATGTCATTGCATAGGAGGTTAGAGTTCATGCACAATCTAAGGCACATCATATCCATGGTGGGAGTGTAGTGACTGCTTTCTTGGAATTATTTGACACCATTATGGTGTACTGTAGTCTACTCAGAATATCAGGATGAAGATGTGAAAGAGAGAGCAGCAAGTCTTTTGCCAAAGAGTTTTTGTTAACCCTTCTCATTTTTACATTTAAGTTCACGTGAGAGCCAGAGTGGTGTAGTAGTTTGAGTGCTGGACTGTGATTCTGGAGGCAAGGTTTGATTCCCTGCTCTGGCATGAAAACCCATTGGGTGATTGGCATGTCACACTCTCTCAGCCTCATAAGACAGCAAAGATAAATCTCTCTATAAGTCTTGCCAAGAAAATTCAATGATAAGTTTTCCTTAGGGTTGCCATAAATTGGGGACAACTTAAAGGTGCACAATAATAGCAGCAGCAGCAGCAACAAAAACAAACAACAACAACAACTTAGGTTCACTCACAGTGGAGTAGAGGCCATTAATCTCCAAGAGAATTGCTTTTCATTATACATGTTCAGTCTTGCATTACTCTCTGTTTCCAAATGTGAGTCTGTACAGTATGGCATGCTTTATTTCAAATGCAAATCTTGAAACATTAACAAAGGTCCCTTTTCTCTAGAGTCAATTATTAGCTGGCAAATATTCCTTTTTAAAATCTTACCTGCAGATTCTAAAAGCATTATTACATTTATATTTTATCACTCCTCTAAGGAATTCAAGGCAATGTAAATGGCTATCCTTGTACCCATTTTGTCCTAACACACATTTGAATTAGGTCACCCTGTTTTAACAATCTAAAAAACTATACAGATAGTAAGTGTGCTTTTAATTTTTTTTAATTAATTAGATACTAACATATGAAATTGGAAATGGCCATGCCCCTGAGGTCAGAGGTTGCCTAGGTGGAGCTTTCCTCTGTATTTGCCTTTTGCCTGAAGGAAGCAAAGTTGAACACAAACCCAAGCACCTGTTTTCATAGAACTAATATATGGTTCTGGGAAACTGTGCCTGCATTCCTCTATCAAGGAAGGTATGGTTTGAAGAAGCTCCTTACTGTTAGCTTGAGACTGAAGATAACAATGGGAATTTGCAACACTGGCCTTCCCAAATAGAGGGTAAGCAACATGAGGAAGATCATGCTGTTAGATCAGGGGTAGGCAACCTTTCCCCTTTAAGGGCCGAGGGACTTCAGCTCCCAGAATCCCAGGAGCTATTGGCCAACATGGGACTATTGGCCAACATGGCTGAGGCTTCTGGGAGCTGAAGTGCCTCGGCCCTTAAAGGGGAAAGGTTGCCTACCTCTGTGTTAGATCATTGTCTAGTTGGAGATAACAGCAATATTCTCCCAATCTGTTTCTGATAGGGAATATGTCAGGGGTGTCCCCAGTGTGTGGAATTTGGTGAAGGAGATGAGCCAGGGCACTCTATGAACCCTTCACAGACTGGACTGGAGTTACCCAAAGGGCAAATTGGGCCCATGAGTCAGTACTTCCTTTCTACTGCTCTGTAGCACGGAAAAAACTGTAATAGTGATTCCCAATGTTTGGATACTGAAATGCTTAGTTTACTGTCTTTACACATTGGAAAAACAAGAAATTACTAATTTCCTATTTGTTTACCCTAAGTAACTACAAACTCTCTAATTCATAATATAGGTATGCTACATAATCAGAGGTATAAAGGCTCTGTTTAGTCACGTTTTAGGGTGAAATTGTTCTACTGAAAATATCCCATCTGAAGTGCTGTAAGATTCAGCAGACTCTTTAGAGTAATTTCCAGTGTTCCTGCTCTCAGTTTAATACATACTTTTATTAGGGAGTGGTCAATATCTTTCTTCACTTAAGCTGTACTTTTCTTCATCCTGAAGTTCTCTTCTCTTGTTGTTGGTTGACTCTCTTGGTCATCTTTATAATCTCACTTATTCTTTTATTTTATTTCCTTAAACTCTGGTTTATAGCATTCTGTTCAAGTTGATCGACAGTAATAATTTATAATAACTATTTTTACATATCCCTCCAATTACTACATTCCAAATCAGAAACCTAATTTATGCAGCAGTTCCTTTTCCCTACAGTTTCTTTATTTACTTTATAAACATATGATTTATTTTTCCAGTGAAATCAAAGAGGCTTGCTATATAATGAAAACATAAACTATAAATGTATTTTTAAAGGTTTTTATTCCATATTTTCCTGTTTTACCTCTCCATAACTCAAGATATAAAACTCCCCCATCTCCTTACCTCTTTTCATTATCAGCGTTACCAGCCACACATCCACACCCTTTATTAAAAAATGCTCTTTTTGTGAATCCCTCCCTACTTTCTCAATCTTCTCTACTACAAAAAGTCCCTCTTTCACCTCCAGTTCTTTGGTGTTGTCACCTGTACCTACTGCCTACTGTTTCTTCTTAAGTGCCCTATTACTTTCCTATTAGTTTTAGTCAATTGAAAGCTGTGAATCTTTCCAGTGACATGTTTTGGATTACATATTAGGAGAATGTTATTCTTGATCTGATTCACAGCATGTACATTGTTCACTACATTGGTGCTTCCCACACTAACATTCATATATGTAGCTTTCCTGCTTACAGTATCTGTGGCTTAATATTTCTACATTTTCCACTCAGAGGTGCTTCTCTCCACCCTTTAGTACACCTCAAATTTTGAGGGGGAAAGTAGTGAGAACTTAATGTAATTACATATTCTCACTCTTTATCACTTCAGCCAAATCTCTACAGCATTAAAAGTAGTTAAGGAAGAGGAGTCATGTCCTGCTCCCTATAATCTGATAGCTGTTAATCTTGTCGCTTAATCTTTCATCTGCTACCTGTAAATCCTGTGCTGGGTTTATATACTGGTTCGATATACATGTTCGATATAGAGATGATTTTTCCTTTCAGACCTGAGCTTAGAAATACTAGCATTTAATGCTAACACATCAGTGTTAAATTGTTTCATTATACCATAAAATTACTTCATTTTGTTGATTTTTACAAGATCATTAATTGTTGAATCATTAAATTTTCAAAATAACAGTTGTGAATCTCTGTTCTTCACTGATGCAACTGCAAAAGCAATCTTATTTCTCCTGTGGGAATGACGTTCAGTTACCCATTCCACATTTACTTAGGTCCAAAACACACTGCGGAAATAATCCAGTTTGAGACCGCTTTAACTGTCCTGGCTTAGTGCTAGGGAGTCTTGGGAATTGTAGTTAGTTGTGGCACCAGAGCTCTCTGACAGAGAAGGCTAAATGTCTCACAAAACTACAGTTCCCAGAATTCCCTAACAGTGAGCCAGGGCAGTTAAAGCGGTCTCAAACTGGATTATTTCTGCAGTGTGTTTTGGACCCTAGTTTGGTGTCTCATTTCATCTCTTCAAAAATACATTTTCTTGTTTCTTCGTTTGTTTCTTAAACTCTTGTGCATGAAGCGGTAATCCATCTGCATTGACTGTTAGAATATTCTCCAGCATTTCCTTGCACAGGAAAAGCTAATACAAAAATGATTTACTAGAAGGGATTTTCTGGCTACTTTTGTGGGCTGCCAAAAGAACCTGAAGCCTAGCACTATTACAGTGTTATACCAGTCTAGAGGTACACTAAATGGGCTTCTGTTCCATGTTCAGAGGAAATTGGCTTGCCTTCCACTCAGTGCTACATCACAATAG